AACTACCATTGACTTTCTTCACAGAACTGGAAAAACCACCATGAACTTCATATGGAACCAAAAGAGAGCCCGCATAGCCAAGTCAATTCTAAGCAAAAAGAACACAGCGGGGGGCATCACACTACCGGATTTCAAACTATACTACAAGGCTACAGTAATCAAAACAGCATGGTACTGGTACCAAAACAGAGATATAGACCAATGGAACAAAACAGAGGCACCGGAGGCAACACAACATACATAGAACTATACAATCTTTGATAAACCCGACAAAAACAAGCAATGGGGAAAGGATTCCATGTTTAACAAATGGTGTTGGGAAAACTGGCTAGCCATGTGCAGAAAGCAGAAACTGGACCCCTTCCTGACACCTTACACTAAAATTAACTCCAGATGGATTAAAGACTTAAACATAAGACCTGGCACCATAAAAACCCTAGAAGGAAATCTAGGCAAAACCATCCAGGACATAGGAGTAGGCAAGGACTTCATGAACAAAACACCAAAAGCATTGGCAACAAAAGCCAAAATAGACAAATGGGACCTAATGAAACTCCACAGCTTCTGCACGGCAAAAGAAACAGTCACTAGAGTGGATCGGCAACCAACAGAATGGGAAAAAATTTTTGCAGTCTACCCATCTGACAAAGGGCTGATATCCAGAATTTACAAAGAACTCAAACAGATTTACAGGAAAAAAACAAACAAGCCCATTCAAAGTGGGCAAAGGATATGAACAGATACTTTACGAAAGAAGACATATATGAGGCCAACAATCATATGAAAAAATGCTCATCGTCACTGGTCATCAGAGAGATGCAAATCAAAACCACATTGAGATACCATCTCACGCCAGTTAGAATGGTGATCATTAAAAAATCTGGAGAAAACAGATGCTGGAGAGGATGTGGAGAAAAAGGAACACTTTTACACTGTTGGTGGGAGTGTAAATTAGTTCAACCATTGTGGAAAACAGTGTGGCGATTCCTCAAGGCCTTAGAAATAGAAATTCCATTTGACCCAGCAATCCCATTACTGGGTATATATCCAAAGGATTATAAATCGTTCTACTATAAGGACACATGTACACGAATGTTCATTGCAGCACTGTTTACAATAGCAAAGACCTGGAATCAACCCAAATGCCCATCGATAATAGACTGGATTGGAAAAATGTGGCACATATACACCATGGAATATTATGCAGCAATCAGAAATGATGAGTTTGTGTCGTTTGTAGGGACATGGATGAATCTGGAAAACATCATCCTCAGCAAACTGACACAAGAACAGAAAGTGAAACACCGCATATTCTCACTCATAGGTGGGTGATGAAAAATGAGAACACATGGACACAGAAAGGGGAGTACTAAACAGTGGGGTCTACTGGGGGGAAAAGGGGAGGGCCAGTGGGAGGGGGAGGTGGGGAAGGATAGCCTGGGGAGAAATGCCAAATGTGGGTGAAGGGGAGAAGAAAAGCAAAGCACACTGCCATGTGTGTACCTACGCAAATGTCTTGCATGCTCTGCTCATGTACCCTAAAACCTATAATCCAATAAAAAATTAAAAAAAATAAAAATAAAAATGCCTCTAGTATAGACCATATGTTAGGCCAAAAAATAAACTTAAAAATGAAAAGATTAAAATCATATAACTATCTTATCTGATTACAATTAATTACATAAATCTAGAAACCAATGGCAGAAGGGGAATGATAAATCTACAAATATGTGAAATTTAAACAACACACTCTTACACAACCAAGGAGCAAAGAAGAAATTATAAGGAAAATTAGAAAATACCTTGTGACAAATCAAAACCAAAGGACAACATATGAAATGTATGGGATACAGTGAAAACAGTGCCAAAGGGAATTTTTCTGACTGTAAATACTTACATTAAAAAAGATTTCAAATCAACAACATAACTTTACATTTTGACAAACTAGAAAAAGAAAAGCAAATTAAATCCAAAGTTAGCAAAAGAAAAAAATAATATTCAAGCCATGATAAACAAAATAGAGAATAGAATAACAAGAGAAAATCAATAAAACTAAGAGTTTATGCTTTGAAAAAAAATCAACAAAGTCATAAACGTTTAGGTAGACTGACAAAGAAAAAAGAGAAAAGACTGAAGCAAATCAGAAATTAAGGAAGCTAACATTCCTACTAATTTTACAGAAACTAAAAAGGATTACAAGAGAGTGCTATGACAACTATATGCCAGCAGATTGGAAAGAATGGACAAATTCCTGGAAACACACCTATGAAGAATGAATAATAAAAAAACAAAACCTGAAGAGAGCTACAGTAAGAAGACTGTATCAGTCATCAAAAGGTTCTGAACAAAGAAAAGCCCAGGATCAGATGGCTTAACTGGTAAATTCTATCAAACATTTAAAAAAGAATTAATGTTAATCTTCTTCAAACTCTAAATTGAAGAGAAGACATCCTAACTCATTTAATGAGGCCAATATTATTCCTGAGTAGCTGGGATTACAAGTGCCCACCACCACACCCAGCTAATTTTTGTATTTTTAATAGAGACAGGGTTTCACCATGTTGGCCAGGATGGTCTTGGTCTCCTGACCTCATGATCCACAAGCCTGAGCCTCCCAAAGTGCTGGGATTGACAGGTGTCAGCCACTGTACCTGACCAATAAAGTTGGACTCTTATCTTGTAATGTACATAAAAATTAATTCAAAATGGATCAAGACCAAGAATGTAAAGCTCTTAGAAACAGGGGAAAAGCCTCATGACACTAGATTTGGCAGTGCATTCTTGGTTATAACACCAGAAGAACAGGCAACAAAAGAAAAACTAAATAGCTGGAGTACATCAAAACTTAAAACAGGCCGGGCACGGTGGCTCAAGCCTGTAATCCCAGCACTTTGGGAGGCCGAGGCAGGTGGATCACGAGGTCAACAGATCGACACCATCCTGGTCAACATGGTAAAACCCCGTCTCTACTAAAATTACAAAAAACTAGCTGGGCATGGTGGTGCGTGCCTGTAATCCCAGCTACTCAGGAGGCTGAGGCAGGAGAATTGCCTGAACTGAAAAAAAAACCTTAAAACTTTGGTGTAGCAGAGGACATTATCAACAGAGTAAAAAGACAACCCACAGAATAGAGGAAAATATTTACAAATCATATATGATAAGGGGTTAATATTCGAAATATATAATCCAACAGCAACAACAAAAAAATTTCAAAAATAGGCAATAGATTTGAATAGCCATTTCTCCAAAGAAGATACACAAATGGCAACAAGCACATGAGAAGATGTTCAACATTCTAATCATTAGGTAAATACACATCAAATCCACAGGGTGTCACTTCACACCCATTAGGATGGCTACTATTAAAAAAAAAAGGAAAATCAGTGCTGATGAGACTATGGAGAAAAGTGAAACATTTGGACATTGTCGGTGAGAATATTAAAATAGTGCAGCCACTATGAAAATAATATGACAGTTTCTCAAAAAATTAAAAATAAAATTACCATATGATCTAGCAATTCCAATTCTGAGTATACACCTAAAATAACTGAAAGCAGGGATTCAAAGAGATACTTGTACACCCATATTCATAGCTCCATTATTCACAGTACCCAAAAGGTATAAGCAGTCAGAGTGTCCATTGATGGATAAACCGATAAACACAATGTGGTATGTACAACAGATCATGCATCCTTAAAAGAGGAGGAAATTCTGACACATGCTATAATCTGTATATAACTTGAGGACATTATGATAAGTGAAATAGCCAGTCACAAAAGGACAAATATTGTATGATTCCACTTATGTGAGGTACCTAGAGTAGTCCAGCAATATAGCAGACTAGTTATAATGACAAATCTTTCTGGGACAAAAAAGCTAACGATTTTGTAGAAATTAAAAACTTTCTTTTAGCTGCATTACCAAGCTAGTAAGAAATGAACGTAAACTTTCTGAGGTCAAGCAGACTCTAAAAGGTACTTTCAAGTAAGTAAGGTAGAACTGAAGCTGGGAGCATCAATTTACCCCTGCTGAGTTTGGTCTTAGGCACATCTAACTGGAGTTTTAGGAAAAATAAACACAGAGAATGGGAGAGTGGCAATATGTGAAGAGATCATCGCTGATAATTACCCAGAGCCCATTAATGGTCAGATAAAAAAAATTCACAGTAAATCCCAACAGCTGAAATTTACATCTAGATACATCACATTGAAAATACAGAATAACTGGCTGGGCATGGTGGCTCATGCCTGTAACCCCAGCACTTTGGGAGGCTGAGGCAGGCAGATCACCTGAGGTCAAGAGTTCGAGACCAGCCCGGCCAACATGGTGAAACCCTGTCTCTACTAAAAATCAGTAATTAGCTGTTGTGGTGGCAAGCACTTGTAGTCCCAGCTACTCAGGAGGCTGAGTCAGGAGAATTGCTTGAACCTAGGAGGCGAAGTTTGCAGTGAACTGAGATCGCGCCACTGCACTCCAGCCTGGGCGACGGAGTGAGACTCCATCTCAAAAAAAATACAGAATAACCAGGGCAAGAAGAAGGAAGTTCTTAAAAATTGCAACAAAGAATGTATTAATGAAAACTGACTTCTCAATAGCAAGAACAGAAGCCAGAAAAGCATGAAATAGTTTCTTTAAAGCAGTCATAAAAATAATCTGTCACTGGGCATGGTGGCTCATGCCTGTAATACCAGCACTTTGGAAGGCAGAGGCAGGTAGATCACGAGGTCAGGAGTTTGAGACCAGCCTGGCCAACATAGTGAAAGCCCGTTTCTACTAAAACTACAAAAAATTAGCTGGATGTGGTAGCAGGCACCTATAATCCCAGTGACTAGGGAGGCTGAAGCAGGAGACTCCCTTGAACCCAGGAGGTGGTTGCAGTGAGCCAAGATCGTGACACTGCATTCCAGCCGGGGCAACAGTGCAAGACTCCGTCATAGAATGTCAATCTATTGACATTCTATGACTGAGGGGTCCCATATTGAACTCGAGTTGGAAGAGGCGAGTCCGGTCTCAAAATGGAGGTAAAACCGCCGACGGGTCACCCCCAGCCCAACTCCTGCCGTCGCAGTCGCCATCGCCGCTGGGGGGAGGAGGGTCATGATCCAAAGGAACCAGAGCAGTTAAGAAAACTGTTTATTGGTGGTCTGAGCTTTGAAACTACAGAAGATAGTTTAAGAGAACATTATGAGAAACGGGGCACACTTACAGATTGTGTGGTAATGGGAGATCCCCAAACCGAAAGTTCCAGGGGCTTTGGTTTTGTGACTTATTCTTGTGTTGAAGAGGTGGATGCAGCAATGTGTGCTCAACCACACAAGGTTGATGGGCATGTCGTGGAACCAAAGAGAGCTGTTGCTAGAGAGGATTCTGTAAAGCCTGGTGCTCACTGAAGAAAATTTTTGTTGGTGGTATTAAAGATTGAAACCATAGAAGTTATGGAAGACAGGCAGAGTAGAAAAAAGAGAGGATTTGCTTTTGTAACTTTTGATGATCATGATACATTTGATAAAATTGTTGTTCAGAAATACCACACTATTAATGGGCATAATTGTGAAGTGAAAAAGGCCCTTTCTAAACAAGAGATGCAGTCTGCTGGATCACAGAGAGGTCGTGGAGGTGGATCTGGCAATTTTATGGGTCGCGGAGGAAACTTTGGAGGTGGTGGAGGTAATTTTGGCCGTGGTGGAAACTTTGGTGGAAGAGGAGGTTATGGTGGTGGAGGTGGTGGCAGCAGAGGTAGTTATGGAGGAGGTGATGGTGGATATAATGGATTTGGTGATGGTGGCAACTATGGTGGTGGTCCTGGTTATAGTAGTAGAGGGGGCTATGGTGGTGGTGGACCAGGATATGGAAACCAAGGTGGTGGATATGGTGGCGGTGGTGGAGGATAAGATGGTTACAACGAAGGAGGAAATTTTGGCAGTGGTAACTATGGTGGTGGTGGGAACTATAATGATTTTGGAAATTATAGTGGACAACAGCAATCAAATTATGGACCCATGAAAGGGAGCAGTTTTGGTGGAAGAAGCTCGGGCAGTCCCTGTGGTGGTGGTTATGGATCTGGTGGTGGAAGTGGTGGATATGGTGGCAGAAGGTTCTAAAAGCAGCAGACAAGGGATCCAGTTCTTAGCAGGAGGGAGAGCGAGGAGCTGTCAGGAAAGCTGCAGGTTACTTTGAGACAGTCGTCCCAAATGCATTAGAGGAACTGCAAAAATCTGCCACAGAAGGAGCGACGATCCATAGTCAGAAAAGTTACTGCAGCTTCAACAGGAAACCCTTCTTGTTCAGGACTGTCATAGCCACAGTTTGCAAAAAGTGCAGCTATTGATTAATGCAATGTAGTGTCAATTAGATGTACATTCCTGAGGTCTTTTATCTGTTGTAGCTTTGTCTTTTTCTTTTCATTACATCAGGTATAGTGCCCTGTAAATTGTGGCAGTGGTACCAGGAATAAAAAATTAAGGAATTTTTAACTTTTCAATATTTGTGTAGTTCAGTTTTTCTACATTTTAGTACAGAAACTTTAACAAAATGCAGTTTTGAAGGTGTTTTCTTGTGAAGAATGATCTTCTTTAACAAGTAAAGAAGATCATTGTTAATTACTATTTTGTATGAATTTTGCTAAAGTTAACTGTAAAGAAAAACCTGCTGACTTGCAGTTTAAGGGGCATCTATTCTCCCCATTTCCAAACCATAATATGAATGGGCACTGACATGTGGAGAGAATAGATATCTGTGTGTTTGCAATGTGTGTTTTGGGTAAATAGGATTGGGTATTTACATTAGCATTTGTGAATTTAATAGCATTAAGATTACCTTCAAATGAAAAAAATCTCAAAATTTCTATTTGGTTTTTGTGCATTTTCTTTTAAAATGTAATCAGATGATTTTAGTGTGTGAGACTTGCTGGGTCCTAGCTGTGTTTAGAACATCTCCATTCTCCGTTTACCTTGGTCAAATCTGAACTGCTGCCATAGGTTGTGGGTGTAAAGAATGTTTAATGCCCTCCATTTAAATTCAGAAAAGGGGTAGTGGATGTTTTCCCTCTCCTACGTTAGAAACCATTCTTAAAAACTTTTCAAAATATAGGACCATTAAGCCTGCTGTATCTGAGCAAATTAGTGGGTACCTTTTTTTTCTTTTTTAAAGCACTAGAGGCCCATAAATCATCAGTTATTTTCCTTGGTTTAAATTTATATATATATATATGCACACATACATACATATATATATATATATATATATACACATACATACATACACACACACATACACACACACACACACACACACACACATATGTAAGTTTTTAAGAGTAAGAGAATAAAAATCATGCATTATTAAACCCCTAACTGGCTGGCATGCTTTCCTGTTTGTACCCTATACATTTTGCTGGATGAAACCAAGGATAGTTTAGGTAGAACTGTCCAAAATAACCTAGCTGCAGCAGAGATGTAGCACAGTTGCTTAGTACAATCACTTCCTACAGACCTGAATTCAAATTTGGATAGTCTGAGTTCTTAAATTCCCAAAGAACAAACACACTGTAACTTCTTGTGTATATTTCAACATAAATCATATTGTTACCAATTCGTTTGGAAGGCCCTGGTTGAGAAGAGTTTTAGATAATAAGGTCATATATATATATTAATATAAACCAATGTCTACTGTTTTGCCCCAGCTAGTACTTACAGTTTCATTCGATCCCTGAATATGTGCCCTGCTGTTATTCTTTCTTGGTAGCTGAATGTTGAATTCAAAATTCTTTGTTTTGTTTTAAGAAGTACTAAGCAAAACAAGCAATAAAAAGGGGAATGGGGCCTGCTAGTGTTTGAATTTGCTTTCTTGTTGCTCTAATTCTGTGCCTCTGTGCATTAATATTGGGATGCATGCAATGCCAGCATGGAGACTGGTCTTCACACATACTGCAGTTTTCCAGAAACACTCACAAACAATAAAGGTAACAGACATTCCATTTGTTAATGGGCATATATGTGAAAAAGCAGTGTAGAAAATAGGCTAATATTAGAAAATGGTTAAGTCCTTAATAACTTCAAGTGTGGTTATATAATGGACACTGTCAGTGTTCATAACTTAAACCTGGGTACCTGGTCAAAATAATGCCTGGGAAACATTAACATTGAGCTACATTGTAACAAAAAAAAATCTATGACTGAGAAAAAGTCATAGATTTTTGTTGGAGTGCAGTGGCCTGATCTTGGCTCACCACAACCTCCGCCTCCCAGGTTCAAGGGATTCTCCTGCCTCAGCCTCCCAAGTAGCTGGAATTACAGGTGCCCACCACCACACACAGCTAATTTTTTTTTTTTTTTGTATTTTTAGTAGAGACAGGGCTTCATCATGTTGGCCAGCCTGGTGTCAAACTCCTGACCTCAGATGATCCACCCACTTGCCTCAACCTCCAAAGTGCTGGGATTACAGGCCTGAGCCACTGTGCCTCGCTGAGGAAAATATTTTTTAAAGACTGAGAGGCTTATGAAACTGAGAGGAAATGGGACTTATTAGAAAGGAGTCGGCAAAGTGAGAGAAGACAGATAATTAAAAATAACAAATGTGGGAGAACATCAAAAAAGGCCCCAAATTTCTATGAAGACCTAGAACATTTGAGAAGAATATGAAAGCTAAAAAATGAAGCGGTGATACGTTTGAGTCAGGCTGAGCTGTCACTTGCAAAGATTTTTGTCTATTTCCTCTTCACTAACCTGAGCACAAGCCTTTTGTTAGCTCTCTCTTCACCATCCAGGGTGCTTTTCCTTGTTCCAACAATAATATCACACCTGGTTTGGAAAAGCAAAGTCCTGCAATATATGGAAAAAACAGAATTTGTTCATGCTGTGGATATTCCAAACTCACATTCAATCCTTTGATCATCCAGGAAAAGGACATGCATCAGAAGGGTAAGGAAGATGAAGCTTCCCCAGCATAAGCCACGAATACGTTCATTGCCAAATCCACAAACACTAAGCCATTTGTTTGGCACAGGCAGCAGACATTCAGCCAAACTTTGCAGATGTTATCTAAAAACTCACAATGGTGGTAGCAAAAAGCCCCTTCTGAGCAGAAGCTCAATTTTGCAAGAAGATAGCCTTACCCAGTGATACCAAGATCCTGTAGTTCTCCAGCATCACATTACTATACAGATGTCTTTGAGAAGAATCCAGACAATCCCACTCCTCTTGGGAGAAGTCTACAGCCACATCTCTGAAGGTCACCAACTCCTGACATGAAACAAATGAAAGAACCATATTGACCTCATTTACTCTGCCCTGGGCACACTGGGCTCTCTCTGATATTACATCCTCCAACATATAACCATGTTATCATATTTGTATTCAGACCCTTTGTGTGTCTCAGATTATTCCAGTATAAAATAGCAGTATTCCTACCCCAATTCCTTATTCCCTAACCCTGCTTTATTTTTCTCCACACCAGTTAATTATTTTATTCATGGGCTGTTCTTCACCCTCCTCAACTTCATACAATTTAAGCTCCATGAGGGCAGAGTATGCTTTGGCTTTGGCCACTGCTTTACTCCCAGGCACAGAATAGAATCTGGCACATGTGAGGCATTCAAATATTGACTAAGTTGAATTAATCAATGAATGGTTTGAAGAAAATTTCAAGAAGCTAGAAAGGGATCAAAAATGATCCCAGAAAGTATTCGCTATATCTCTGAAAATTGTGCTAGACCAAGCAGAGCAGAGCATCAATTCCATTAAAATTCAAATACTCTAATCCAGAGTTCTCAAAATTTTGTGTAAATAAATAGGTATTCTACTCATAATATTGCTGCTGCCTGCTGGGGTTAGAGAAAGTTCTGAAAACTTGACTCTGGGCTGGGCGTGGAGGCTCACGCCTGTAATCCCAGCGCTTTGGGAGGCCGAGGTGGTTGGATTATCTGAGGTCAGGAGTTTGAGACCAGCCTGGCCAACACGGTGAAAGCCTGTCTCTACTAAAAATACAAAAATTAGCTGGGTGTGGTGGTGCATGCCTATAGTCCCAGCTACTCGGGAGACTGAGGCAAGAGAATTGCTTGAACCCAGGAGGCAGAGGTTGTAGTGAGCCAAGATTATGCCACTACACTCCAACCTGGGTGATAGAGCGAGACTCCATCTGAAAAAGAGCTGCTGTCATGCCGTTGGATTCCAGTTTCTATAATGTCACCACTTGCTGATGAAACAAACATACATTATATAAGTATTAATTTGTTTAAAAAATTAAAAGATGTGAACCTGTCCATGTAACTTTTTGCATTTGACACAATTTTGTTACAGTTACAGAAACTGTCTCTGGGCTGGGTGGGGTGGCTCACACCTATAATCCCAGCACTTGGGAGGCTGAGGCAGGCATATCAATTGAGGTCAGGAGTTCCAGACCAGCCTGGCCAACATGGTAAAACACTGTCTCTACTAAAAAATACAAAAATTAGCTGGGCCTGGTGGCACACACCTATAACCCTATAATCCCAGGTACTCCAGAAGCTGAGGCAGGAGAATTGCTTGAATCAGGGAGGCAGAGGTTGCAGTGAGCTAAGATTGTGCTACTGCGCTCTAGCCTGGGCAACACAGCAAGACCTTGTCTCAAAAACGAAACAAAACAAAAAGAAAGAACTATCTCTACAGAAGCAAAATTCTTCAAGTTCGACACTTAGTCACCTTTTTTCTAACTTAATTATATGAAGTAGGTAAATCTCTCCCTCTCTGCTCCTGCTAACAGTAGGGTTCATGTGGTATACATACTTCCTAAAATGGTGTCCTTAGCTTATATAAATACATATAATACATTTATAAATATTTATATATAACACACATTTTCCACGGATTCTTTATAGTCAACAAATAATTTCAGTGTCCACATAGGAGCTTAAATTCTATTCTTAAAATATTTGACCCCTAACAAACGATGATAATACTTGGTTTCAAAATCCATTCACAATTATCATCAAAGCAGTCTGAAGCAAAACCACAGCTCCCAGTTTTTCCTGTTCTCTTTTTGCCCTTAAAGAAACATGGTCTCCAGCTGAGAGGATGACTTCCCCTCATGCCCTGTCACTGATGACTGTTTTATTCCCCACATTCCTAGTGCCACAGCACCTGAAGGTGAGGCAGGCCACCTCTTTGCTATTGTTTCCAGGCGATTTCCTCCTCCCTAAAAGACATCTAGTTTTCAACATCAAGAAATTAGAATATGTCAATCACAATCCCTCCTTGTGATAGCTATCTACTAATTCTCTGTCATTCCTTAAATTCTTCAGCACCTGGCTCACTGTCACTCTCTTTAATGCCATTCCTATCATTCTTCAGTCTCTTCAATATCCACATAAATAATACTCCCCACAATCTGGCCTCTCAGTTCTCTGACCCCTCTCTCCTCTAGCAGCCTTATCCTCCACACTTCTGCAGTCATTCACTTCCATGGTCATGACACAGACCTTGTCATTACCAGTCACTACCAAACCCTTCATAACCTCAATTATCCCACTCTGACTTCTATCACCAATATCTCTTCTTTTTGAGACGAAGTCTCGCTCTAGTCGCCCAGGCTGAAGTGCAATGGCGTGATCTCGGCTCACTGCAACCTCAGCCTCCCAGGTACAAGCAGTTCTGCCTCAGCCTCCCGAGTAGCTGGGATTATAGGTGCCCACTGCTACGCCTGACTAATTTTTTTTCTTCTGTATTTTGGGTAGAGACAGGGTTTCACCATGTTGGCCAGGCTGGTCTCAAACTCCTGACCTCGGGCAATCTGTCTACCTCAGCCTCCCAAAGTGCTAGGATTACAGGCATGAGCCACCACGCCCAGCCTCTATCTCCTGTATCTCAACTCTTGCCCTATGATACCCCAAACTGGATGGTTATCTGACTCCACCAGAAGTCAAATTCTGGAGAAGTACAGCTCATTGATCTTACCACTTTTTCCCTGTTTCTCATCCCTGAGCACTCTCACCTCCCAGCACGGTCATCTGTCATGATCACTCCCTGCACATGCCTTTGCCTTCCCTCTCTGGTTTAACGTACTCACTTGGTTAAACTGCAGCCATCTTTCTGCCTACTCTGTGCCCATACTCTGCATAGCTGAACTCTGCAGGAGAAAATCATACCAACCATACTAATTAGTCTCACTTTAAATTCATGATCACTTAACCTCACGTGGAAATGCTGCGTGATACATTTCCCCAGGCCGTTCAGCCTTTTGCTAAATGACCGTTTCATGCTGTCTCCTCTCTCTTCACACCTTCAAGACCTTCTTCCCCATGCTCACTTCAGTGGACAATCTTGCTTTTTCTCTCACTGAGAAAACAAACCCCATTGAAAGAGAATTTCCACAACTCCCGCTACATCTACACATCTACCTGCACCTGTGCTTATACCCCCTAACATGCCCTTCTCCTATAATTGAACAACCCACTTTTCTAGAAAAGACCAAACACTCAGCTCCTCTCACCTGCCTAAGCACGTTGTTCCAGCAATTCCTTTTTCTCTATTCATCTTCAAATTTCCCTTTCTACTGAATCTTTAACTTCAGCCTGCCAGCATACATCCACTGTCCTGAAACCTGTCAATTAGACTTTCTCCTTCAGTTACCACCCATTTCTCTCCTTCTCTTACAGCTACTTTCTAAAAGAGTTGTCTGTGCTTCCTGTTACTTCCACCGCCCCCTGCCTGTAAAGAATGGCTCCATATGACCTAGGTGTTAACAGGATCGCATTGGCTGCTCCATTGAGAACAGACTCAAGGAGAACAGGAGTGGATGGAGACAGACAGGTTAGGAGAGTACCACAGAAACACAGCTGAGAGTCAATGGTTCAGAACATAATGGAAGCAGTGGTGATAGTAAAAAGTAGTCTGGGCCGGGCGCAGTGGCTCACACCTGTAATCCCAGCACATTGGGAGGTTGAGGCAGGTGGATCATGAGGTCAAGAGATCAAGGCCAGCCTAGTCAAAATAGTGAAACCCTGTTGCTACTAAAAATACAAAAATTAGCTGGGCGTGGTGGCGCACGCCTATAGTCCCAGCTACTCGGGAGGGTAAGGTGGGAAAATGGCTTGAACCCAGGTGCTAGAGGGTGTGGCTTGCCAAGATCGCACTACTGCACTGCAGCCTGGCAATAGAGCGAGACTCTGTCTCAAAAAAAAAAAAAGTCGTCTGATTCTGGATATATTTTGAAGTTAGATGAACTGAATTTCCTGATGGAAGATTTTTAGCTTAAGCAATGGAGCCAGGGAAGTACATAAGAGTTTCCTAGTTGAGTTCCCTAATTCTATCTTTGTCCTATTCAGTTTTTTCTCAGTAGCAGCCAGAGTAATCCTACTGAAATGAAAATCAGCTCACGTCACTCATGCTCCAAAACCACCAATGCCTCATTTCACTCCGTTTGTAAAACATTTGCATTCGAGATATCTCTTTGCAACCAAATGAAGATGTTTAGTAGGCAGTCAGATATACAGTCGAGAGTTCAAGAGACGTCTGGGCTGTATACAATTTGGTAGTTGTTGGCATAATGAACATGGCATTTGAAACTATTGGACAGGACGAGATTATCAAGGTAATAAGTGTAGATAGAGAACAGGATGAGGGACTAAGCCCTGTGACACCCAGTGATAATGGGTGCTCACTAAAAATTTGGATGAATGATGTTTGCTTAGAGACTACAGTGAGGAAGTTGGTCTGTATCCGTATCTTAGGGCAGTAACCCAGGCAGAGAGAATAGCAAGTGAGAGGCCATGCGTTAAGAATGTACTCACAACATTACAAGGAAGCTGGTGTTGCTGGAACTGAGTTACTGAGTTAAAGATGGGGTCAGAGGGATAATCAGGGACCAGATGATGCAGGGCCCTGCAGGTCAAGACAAGGATTTAAGCATTTATCTTGAATGAGACAGGAATCCAATGGAGAGTGTTGATAAGTGACATGACTGGTTACCCAGAAACCAGTCAACCAGGAAAGAAGGAAAATTAATATCTGCTTGTTGTGAAAAGCAGACAGGTATTCAGGAAAGAGAGAAAACACCAACGCACCTGGTACATGGCTTTAAGAAGCCCAACAGCCATTCTTCCTTCCTGCTGGCTCTTCTCTTGGGAAATGGCAGTGGCCTCAGATGACTGAGATGGGGAAAAGAACATGAGAAACTAGGCTTTTCTTGCAGCATCCAGAGTCACCAGTCTAGACTTTTAGGCTTCTTTCCTCTTCTTGCAACCTTCCCTCCGATAGAGAGAGCATAATGGAGACCTAGGAATTTGTTTGCACACAATTTAACTCATGCCTAAATCGTTTTTTTGTTTTTGTTTTTGTTTTTTTTTTTTTTGAGACAGTTTCCCTCTTGTTGCCCAGGCTGGAGTGTAATGGCCCGACCTCGGCTCACCACAACCTCCACCTCCCGGGTTCAAGTGATTCTACTGCCTCAGCCTCCCGAGTAGCTGGGATTACAGGCATTCGCCACCACGCTCAGCTAATTTTGTATTTTTAGTAGATATGAGGTTTCTCCATGTTGGTCAAGCTGGTCTTGAACTCCCGACCTCAGGTGATCAACCCACCTGGGCCTCCCAAGTGCTGGGATTACAGGCATGAGCCACCGCACCTGGCTGCCTAAGTCATTTTTTAATTCCTCAGCTTAACTGTTATTAATGTTCTAGGTTTTACAAATACAGTCTTAGAGGAATGTAAGCTTTTACATAAAGACACAGAACTAATAAATAAGAGCACCAAGTTCAAATAAAAGAGTACCTTACCCCACAATCCTCTCCAATAAGATCAGTGATTCTGAAACTTGATGACACATTGATATGATTTGGCTGGCTTTAAAAGCCTCTCGGTGGCACACAGTCTCTCACACATTCCCTGACATACCCAGAGTGTGAAAAGTACAATGCCAGCCACCGTCTTACCCACGCCACAGTCAGAGGCCATGGGTATGGGCTGTCTCACTAGGGCACCCTTTCCCATACCGGCAAGGCTCAGACAACAGGGTATCTATCACAAGTGACAATCTCACAATCCAGTCACAAAGAGGCCGCGGGTATCGGCCCAAAGGGTCAGCGAACACTCGCCCGCTCCCGTCCTAACTCACAGCCTCACACTCCACGGTGCCATTGACTCCTTCGCACCCAGTCACACAGGACGCGAACAGGCACAAGCGGTGACAGCCTCGCACTGAATAGTAGCAACCTCCGTCCGCACCGAAGTCACACAGAGGGCCTGGAACGACCTTCCAGAGACCCAGAAGCCACTCTTCAGCCTACTCCCTACCTGCAGAACTGAACTGCGGGAAGATCCCGTTCCCGCCCCGAAAGCAAAGGGAATCTCCACTCTGTTCTCACCCCTACCCTGAGTTGGAGGGAACCCAGCCCCCGCGGGCCCGGAAAGAAGCGCCTCCGCTGCCTCGGCCTCCGGAGGACACAAAGGGGCCGCCGGCCCCGCTCCCGCGGGGGCCGCTGGGAAACGTAGTCCGCAGTAGAAAGGCCGCAGTGCCGCAGGATCTGGCAGCGGTGCAGCTCCGCGCGAGCTTCGCGATGTCGCCCCCTTTCCAGTAGGTCCTCCCACGCTGGCTTCTCCCAGCCTTCCAGCCTGGATCCCGGAAGTCCGGATTCCCTGCAGCTCAGAGCCTGGCTTGGCTACAGGGACGGGGCCCAGCGTCACACTACACGGACTGGTATGGAAGTGCGCAGGCACAGGCGCTCCGAACGCCTTCCTTAGCAACCAGAGCGGGGAGTTCAGAACAGAGGATTGGCCTAAGGGAAAAGGTTTGTGCGTGGGAACGCGCTACTGGCGCGTCTACACAAAGTGGGTGGGAGGCGAATTCCTAGAATTGTGCTGGATACCCGAAAAAAGTTGGTGGGGACCAGGAGGTATGCTGCGCAAGCGCACTACACTCCTGCCAGTCTTCCACCTCGCTACCCTCGGGCGAGGCGCGGTGGTTCACGCCTGTAATCCCAGCACTTTGGGAGACCGAAGCGGGAGGATCACTTGAGGTCAGGAGTTGGAGACCAGCCTGGGCAACATGGTGAAACCACGTCTCTACTAAAAATACAAAAAAATTAGCAGGGCGTGGTGGCACGCGTCTGTAGTCCCAGCTACTCAGGAGGCTGAGGCAGGAGAATTGCTTGAACCCGGGAGCGGGAGGTTGCAGTGAGCGGAGACAGCGCCAGTGTAGTCCAGCCTGGGCGACAGAGCAAGATTCTGTCTCCAAATAAAAAAAAGGAACTCCTGACCTCAGATGATCCACACCTCAGCCTCTCAAAGTGCTGGGCTCACGGGCGTGAGCCACCGCGTCCAACTTCTTACCTTTTTATTAAAGGTATTAAGACCGGCCCCGTGCGGCTCATGCCTGTAACCCCAGCACTTTGTGAGTTATCCAGGCGGGAGGATAATTTGCTCAGGAGTTCGAGACCAGCTTGGGCAACATAGAGAGGTCTCATCTCTACTAACAATTAAAAAAAAAAAAAAAAAAAGCCAGCCTGGGTGTTCCGTGTTTGTAGTCCCAGTTACTCGGAAGGCTTGAGGCAGAGAATCGCTTGAGCACGGGAGTTCGAGGCTACAATGAGCAAGGATCGTGCCGCTGCACTCCAGTCTGGGCAACTGGAGGCTCGGCCAAAAAAGAAAAAATTAAGACTAAAGGCATAAAGCAGTTAAGTAGCTAGTGTAAGGTGACACAGCTTGTAAGACCAACTCTGTTTAGAATCCAGGCGGTCTGGCCACACTGCTTTTCACTCACGATCCCAGGTCATTTACTCCAATAACACTGTCATAGTCAATCGAGAAGTCCAGAAAGAACGAATATACACGCACACTGTCTCTGACAAAATTGCAAGGTCAGAATCGGTCATGAGAACATAAAACGCGACCGTGGTCGCACAAAAGGTTGCACATTCGCACGACCTCTGATGTCACTGGACCTCAGTGTCTCTCGCCCCAGAAACTCCAAACTCCAAATTCCATGGCCGAAGTTTCACACATACAGTCACTCGTCCCTGTTTTAGCCGCTGCCAGGACCTTAGGGCTCCAGCTGACCTGGCCTTTACGGGCCCTTCAACTCTTACCACCTTCAGCGCGCTGTAGTCCAGTCTCGGGTAGAGACCCGAACACACGGAACTGAACAGACTGAGCGGGATTCCTTCACGGACCCCGCGAACCTGCAGCTCCAGCCGACAGTAAGAAGGAAGTGCCTTTTTGCGGGGGGGTGGGGAGGGTGTAGGGCCGCGAAGGCTCTTGGGAAATGTAGTCCGGAGCAGGAAGCAGCGGAACGATTCGATTCTTAGTTCCAAGTCGCGCTCTGAATCTCTGAGAGCCGGGCTCGCAAGAGGCCGCTTAGGCAAACGCCTGCCGAAGGCAGGAGCCCCCTGCGCACAGGTGTGAGCCCTGAAACGCCACGGTCGACTTCTTAGGACGCGCAAACAGGAAAACGGGTACCGCCCGGGTGAGCCGCGGGGCCCTCTGGGAAGCGTCGCCCCTGTTCTAACGGACCGAGGCTTGTGGCGCTCTCAGGCACCGCCAGCGCCGTCCTCAGTGGCGCCTCGTCTCAGCCCGCGTCGGCTGTGTCACTTGGGCAGCGTTAGGTGTGGAATCGAGGCCTCTGTCCGCGGGCTCTGTGGTGAGTTCTCGGGAAACCGTAAACTCTGACCGCCGGACTCTTTTTGCTTGGTGGGAGTGGGGACCCGCGAACCCAGTGCCCGAATTCTTTAGAAGAGGACGCCGGGCGGTGCGACGCCTGTGCGGGTGGTGGTTCCCTGAGGCCGTGGGAGTGGTGTGTGAAGGACTGTAAGAGTCTGGCGCGAAGCGACTGTCATTTGCCAGATATTTGGCTGAGTGTGGCCCCAGGATCGTGTCCGTAAGCGGTTTTCGTGCAGGCGCTTTCCCTTTTATCTTTCAGTCTGAAACTGCGTGCAAACGTGCGTGACAGTGGGATCTTGAATGAATGAAAAACTCTGGATGCAAAGTAGGGTGTGCTTGTGGGTGTAGATGTGTGAGACTTGGCGTTTGTACCAGTGCTGAATGTCTTTGGCTGTGGCCACTGGAAATATGTTTTTATATGAAACATCGATAGCCCCAACACTTTATTGATCTTTTACTTTATTTTCGTGTATTAACTACGTTGTTTTGTGTGCGTACTAAACTCATTCTCCTCCTCCCCTCCACCATATTTGGGGAGTGGAGTGGGGTGGAGAAAAGTATAGAAAAGCTCGAAGAACAAAATAATAGTTCGACCAGCTATGCAACCAGTCAAAATTTACTCTCCATCTTTTCACCCCCGCCTTTGTGAATACACACGTATACATTTATATGTTCCATATGTGTGCATAATGGCTTCAAAATTGTAGTCACACTTTACATACAGCTCTGTAACCGACCTTTCTCATTTAACAATGTATGATTAATATATTTACATTTAAACAATCACAAATTACACTTCTTTTTTTTTTAGACGGAGCCTTGCTCTGTGGCCCAGGCTGGAGTGCAGCGGTATGATCTCGACTCACTGCAACCTCTACCTCCCAGGTTCAAGCCATTCTTCTGCCTCAGCCTCACGAGTAGCTGACACTACAGGCGCCTGCCACCTCGCCTGGCTAATTTTTATATTTTTAGTAGAGACAGGGTTTCCCCTTGTTGGCCAGGCTGCTCTGGAACTCCTGACCTAGTGATCCGCCTGCCTCGGCCTCCCAGAGTGCTGGGATTACAGGCGTCAGCAACCGCGCCCAGCCTATGCCTTCCTTTTGAAGTATATCATGGTATACGTTTCCTCCTGTTGATGGGTGATTTGGTTCTCTCTAGCTTCTTAAAATTACAAACAGTGTGTTTATCAGCAGCTATTTGGCACATGTTTTAATGTGCCTTTCTAAATTTTTTTGAAGGGGGAGCAGGCTCCTAAAAGTAGAATTGGTAAGTCAAAATGTATGCTCTTATTAAAGGTTTCCTGAACCTATCCAATTATCCTTCTGTGAAGTTCCAATAATCTGCAGTGTTACTGGCATAGTATAAGACTGCCGGTATCCTCATACACCCTTGATAACAAGATATTGTAAATAGTAGTCATGCTATGAATTAATTTGCTATAAAACAATTGTTTACTTACTGAAGTCAAGCATTTTAAAAAATCGTCTGTGAATTATATGTTTTCTGAAGTCTTATTCTGTTTTCAAATTTCTTTTCCAGAGTTCTTCGTATATTAAGGATTCGTTCATTCATAGACTCATCACTTATTGAATGCCATCTGTGTAGCAGGCACAATCGTCAGTGTTCAGGAAATAGCAGTGAACAAGAGACTAACCCCGACTATTATGGTACTTATTTTGTGGACCAGATAATAAACAAGGTAAGTAAATTAAATGTGAAGTATATTAAATGGTGAAAAATACTAAGAAAAAATGTCAAGTGAGAGGATATTTACAATTAGTGATGGGAATATGAGTTTTAGATGGGCTAGCCAGGGAAGGCATCCTGAAAAGGTAGTGATAAAGATATGAAGGAAGTAAAGGAGGTTTTTATACATAACTGAGACAAGTTATTTCAGGCAGAGGGAACAGCAGTTGTAAAGGCTCTCAGGTGGCAACTTGCCTATTATAATGAAGAGGCTGGCATGGCTGAAATAGAGTAATTGAGGAGGGGAGTAGTGGGAGAGAAGAAAGGTAAGTAGAGGGGAGGAGGACACATCAGATTGGGCTTTATGGCCCATAGTAATAAATGGCTTTTCCTCTGAGATGGGAAGCTGCTGGAGGGTTTCTTGAGTATGGAAGTCTTGAGCATGACTTCCACAAAGAAGATGCTTTGGCTGCTCTGATGAGAATGGCCTATGGGAGGAAGAATGAGGAAAGATCAAGAAGGTTAAGGAAAGAATCATAGAGATCAGTTAGGAAACTACAATGGTGTTGCTTATTGATGGGTTTACATTCTGCAGAATGCATGGTTAAACCATTTTGTTCTTGTATAAACATCATGGAGCGTACTTACACAACCTAGATGGTATAGCCTCCTGCAAACCTAGGCTATATGGTACAACCTGTTGTTCCAAGGCTGCACACCTGTACAGCATGTTACTGTACTGACTGCTATAGGCAATTGTAACACAGTGGTAAGACTTGGTGTATCTAAACATATCTAAACACAGAAAAGATACAGTGAAAATGCAGTATAAAAGATTAAACATGGTACACCTATAGAGGGAACTTACTGTGAATGGAGTTTACCAGGATTAGAAGTTATACTGGGTGTCAGTCAGCCAGTGAATGGTGAGTGAATGTGAAGGGTTAGGACATTAGTATACACTATTGTTGACTTTATAAACACCGTTCACTTAGGTTACACTAAATTATAAAAACATTTTTCTTTTTTCAGTAATAAATTAACATTAGCTTACTATATTTTACTTTATAAACTTTAAAATTTTTTAACTTTTGTCTTTTATAATACTTAGCT